GGGGACTGAGGCACAGGGAGAGACTCTCAGCCTTACAGGAGAGTTCGTTGAAGAGACCTACAGGATCCTGGAATGTACACAGGCCCACCCACACAGGAATCAGCGCCAGAAGGGCCCAGTTTTCTTGGGGGAAGCAGTTTGCTTGGGGGAAGCGGCAGAGGTGATTGGGATCCAACAGAGAGCGGAGTGGGAGCCATTGTTTCCTCTTAGACCCCGCCCCCACATACAGCATCACAACCCAGTGACTGGGTTGCCCCGCCCTGGTGAACACCTAAGGCTCCGCCCCTCATATGTAACAGGTGTGACAAGACAAAAAAAAATGGTCCAAACAGAAGAACAGATCAAAGCTCCAAAGCAATACCACTAAGGGACAAAGAGATAGCCAACCTATTAGGTGCACAGTTCAAAGCACTGGTGATCAGGATGCTCACAGAATTGGCTGAATTTGGTTGCAAATTAGATGAAAAAATGAAGGCTATACTAGCTGAAATGAAGGAAAATGCACAGGGAACCAATAGTGATGGGAAGAAAACGGGGACTCAAATCAATGGAATGGACCAGAAGGAAGAAAAAAAACATACAATCAGAAAAGAACGAAGAAACAAGAATTCAAAAAAATGAGGAGAGGCTTAGGAACCTCCAAGACATCTTTAAACGTTCCAACATCTGAATTATAGGGGTACCAGAAGGAGAAGAGGAAGAGCAACAAGTGGAAGTTATTTGTGCAAATAATAAAGGAGAACTTCCCCAATATGGCAAAGGAAATAGACTTCTAGGAAGTCCAGGAAGCTCAGAGAGTCCCAAAAAGCTGGACTCAAGGAAGAACACACCAAGGCACATCATAATTACATTACCCAAGATAAAAATGAAGGAGAGAATCCTAGAAGCAGCAAGAGAGGAGGAGACAGTCACCTACAAAGGAGTTCCCATTAGACTGCCAGCTGATTTCTCAAAAGAAACCTTGCAGGCAAGAAGGGGCTGGAAAGAAGTATTCCAAGTCATGAAAGGCAAGGACCTCCATCCAAGATTGCTCTATCTAGCAAAACATTCATTTAGAATGGAAGGGCAGATAAAGTGCTTCTCAGATAAGGTCAAGTTAAAGGAGTTCATCATCACCAAGCCTTTATTATATGAAATGTTAAAGGGACTTATCTAAGAAAAAGAAGATAAAGAACATGTATAGTAAAATGACAGCAAACTCACAATTATTAAAAACCACACCTAAAACAAAAACAAGAACAAACTAAGCAAACAACTAGAACAGGAAGAGAACCACGGAAATGGAGATCACATGGAGAGTGGGAGTGGGGAGTGGGAGGAGGAGAGAGGGGGAAAAGGTACAGAGAATAAGTAGCATAGATGGTAGGTAGAAAATAGACAGGGGGAGGGCAAGAACAGTATGGGAAATGTAGAAGCTAAAGAACTTATGACACATGGACATGAGCTAAAGGGGGGAATGTGGGTGGGAGAGGGTGTTCAGGGGGGAGGGGAATGAAGGGGGGAAATGGGACAACTGTAATAGCATAATCAATAAAATATATTTTAAAAAGTATTTCAGGCTATTAATGTTTCCTATAACAAATAACTGTGTAGTATTTATTAATATATACTACTTACTACTTCTATTATCAGTTTTTTAGATAGTCTATAATTGCTGCTTTAACTTCCTTTTTGATCTAAAAGTTATTTTCAGAGGGCTTTTTGTGTTATCAGTTTCTAAGTGGACAGGCTTATTTTTATAACCATGCCTAATTCTGTTGTTGTCACAGACTTGCTTCTGTATGAACTGGACAATCTTTCTAAATCATCTGCTTGATTGTAATTGAACATACGTAACACCACGCACTTACAAAAGGAAAAGCAACTGATATATTCAATTTAATAAACCGAAAAACAAGTGGCACGAACTGCCATTCCATCCCAGGCAGATTGATCTTTTAGCTTGAGCTGCCTTCTAGGGAAGGAAGTATTTGGGACTCAGCGCCCCAGAATCCCAGGTATGTGATCAGGTTTAAGTCTTCTTTCATTGCTTTTTTCACTCTAAGATCATTGCATTAAGCAAGAGTCAGCAAACTTTCTGTAAAGGGCCCAGACAGTAAGTATTTTAGGCTTTGTGTGTTGTGTTACTAACATTGCCAGGAACACACTTATAATAAAAAATTGTTCATTGTTTTGAAAATCATATTTAAATGGGCATGTTATATTTTTATTTGCTAAATCTGACAACCATATTTGCAGGCTATATAATCTCTGTGCCCACTACTTAGCTCTGCTACTGTAGTGGGAAAACAAACACAAATAATACATAAGCAAATGGGTGTGACTATATTCCAATTAAACTTTAGTAAAAGTCAGTGGACTATATTTGGCTTGAGAGCCATGGTGTTTGTCCACCCCTGCATTAGACCAGTAGATTTCAATGATTAACATGCATCAGGATCACACGGAGGGATTTCTGGGCCCTGCTCCAGAGTTTATGATTCCGCAGATCTAGGGTGAAGCCCAACACCCTGTGTTTCTATCAAGTTCCCAGGTGATGCTGCTACTGCTGGTCTGTGGACCGCACTTTGAGTAACACTGCATTAGGAAAAGATGACTATTAATTTTTTATTCCTCAAACCCACTCAGAAGAATGTAAACTTATTTCTTATTATTCATTTAAGATTTCAATAATCCCATGAGTCAAAAATTTTAAGTGCTGAAATTTAAATATTCACATGGCCAGATCTTCCTGACCAGCAGGGCTTCCCTAACACATATGAGTTAATTACCAAAAGTTACTCCCCCTCAGGGAAGGATTAGAAAAAGGCAGAACTTCCACTGAGTTTACACAGCCCCTCACCAAGGGGCACAGCCTAGTGAATGGAGCACAGGCTGGATTTCCGCATTCACTCTCCTTCCAGCAGTCTTCCGGCCATGCACCAACTACAGGACACCCCTGGTGGCCGGCTGATCAGAAGAATGTTATCTACAACTTACCCAAACAATACATTCTAAATGTAAAATATTCAGCAAGAGTTTACACCTTTTCTCAAAGTAAAAACAACAAACACTATTTTTTCCCCTTGGATGTTACATCCTTTTTTCAGCTTTATTGGGATATAATTGAAAAATTTGTAAGGTATTTAATGAGTACACTGTGATGATAAATAATATTACTAAGAAAAATTCCACAAACTGACCCCTATAATCTTTTTCTTATACCTCAAGAGGAGAAAATAAACATAGTTTCAAGAAATCTCCTTTATATAGAAATTTAAGAATTTTAATGCCTATAGTGTGGTGAATATATTCTGCACTGTTTGGCTTTTTGAAGTTTTTTTTACATCTAATATATCAACACTCTACTGTATCAACACTATTTTGCAAATGTTCCATAACCCTTCAAAAGTGTACATTCCCTCTATAGAGGTGATAGAGTTTGAAATATATCTGCTTATAAATGTGTACTTGTTAATATTATCCATATGTTATATGGATTCTCTATATTGTTACTCATTCCCTTGATCTAATGACTTGGGATATAGTATAACCCCCATGAGGTCATGGAAGAAGTTCTAATGCATGATTTTATATCTATATCCTTGGCCTTTAGCACAATACATGGAACATGGTAAGCAATCATTTAATTTTTTTATATTATTTTTTTATTTTAGAGAAAGGAGGGAGGGAGAGAAACATCAACGTGTGATTGCCTCTCATGTGTCCCCTACTGGGGACCTGACCTGCAACCCAGGCATGTGCCCTGACTGGCAATCAAATCAGCAACCCTTTGGTTTGCAAGCTGGCGCTCAGTCCACTGAGCCGTACCAGCCAGGGCATAAGCACTCATTTATTAAATGAATAAACTATTTGGGGCTGTAAAGTGGGATGTAATGCAACTCTCCCCAGTCCTCTAGTCATCAAATGAATTTTTATCCTTTTTACTTTCTCCCTATTGGACTAGTAACTGATTCCCTCACCTGTAATCAGCTGTAATTGCTGCATTTCTTCCTGAAGATACACTTCTCTCTGACACTTAAGTACCTGTGGCAGGTTCCACTCAGGCCTTGTGTTGGTCTTAAACATAGAAAAACAATTACTGGAAAAATATAAACTAAAATTTGATGTGGTTTTTCTCTGTGGGTGATTCTTTGTACTTATTTATTTTTGCTTTACTTTTTGGCATTTTCCAGATGTTCTACAAAAAACAAGCATTATTTTCATAATGAAGAGAACATAGAAAATTTGCAAATAGAAATATCAGTAATTTTGCTCTCTGATATTTTCACTCTCTGGTTCAAATTCTACTCATTGAGATTAAACAGAAAAAGTCCCATAAATTCTCACTCTGACTGGTGTAGCTCAGTGTGTTGGGCATCCTTCTGCAAACTGAAAGGTCGTTGGTTCGATTCCACTCAGGGCACATGCATGGGTTGCGGGCTGGGCCCCATTTAGGGGAGTTCGAGAGGCAACCAATTGATGTTTCTCTTGCACACTGATGTTTTTCTCCTTCTCTTTCTCTCTCCCTTCCCCCTCTCTAAAATAAATAAATACAAATCTTTATTTTTAAAAAAGAAAAAAGAAATTCTTTTTTCTAGATGGAAAAACCATTAACATTTAAAGGGACCTCTCAGATTCTCCCTGAGTCTTCCCTTTAGTTTCCTTCAAAGTTTGTCACATGCATGGTCCTTCACCACCTTGTCTCTGAACACAATCCCATTGGTGGATAATCATTTAAAATAGAGGTCCCAGACTGGATGCAATATTTCAGGTACAGCCTGATCCACACAAAGTACAACAGAATGTCCCTTGATTCCACAATCTGCGGTTCCACAATCGCAGCCTACAACAGCACTGGCATTTTCAGTGCCCACAACACTGTTGACTCGTGCGAGTTTACTGAAATGCCTGTCTTTTTCATTCCTTTGCCGCAATCTGTTTTTATACAAGTAGGTAACACCTATACACAGCTCTCTCACCTGTGCCTTGCCTGTCCTCCCTCCTGAAAGCAGGCCCAGATGGTGGATCTAAGGAACGGAAGGACAGTGACAAAGTTTATCTTTGTGGGCTTTGAGCCGAGCTCTTTCCACTCAGGCACTGCTCTTTGCCGTCTTCCCAGTTCTCTACAGCCTTGCCACAGCCATGAATGGCCTCATCATCTTCATCACGTGGACAGACCCCAGACTCAATAGCCCCAGGTATGTCTTCCTTGGCCACCTATCCTTCCTGAATATCTGACTAATCACCACTACTATCCTAAAGATGCTGATCCACGTAGTGGTCAAGAACCACACTCCTTTGCCTCCTGCTTGACTCAGATAGAGGTTGGGTTTTGGTGTAGGTGTGGCCAAGGGCGTCCTCTTGGCTTTTATGGCCTGTGATCATTATGCCACTATCTGCCACCTGCTTAATTACACCCAGAGCATGAGCCAGCATGTCTGTGTGAGGCTGGTGAGTAGTGTCTGGTTCTTTGGGCTGATCAATGGCATCCTGCTTGATTATATGATATGATGGTCCATTTTTGTAGAGAAAACTACATAGAAAACTTCTTCTGTGAGGCTCCCATAGTGATCACCCTCTCTGTGGAGACCCTCCATTTAGTCTGAGGGTGACTCTTGCTGATGCCACCGTGGTGGTGCTCAGCGCCATGGTGCTCACTGTCATCTGTGCCCGCATCCTGGCCTCCATTCTCAGTAGAGCCTCCTCCTCAGGCAGGGGGAAGACTTTCTCTGCTTGCGACTCCCATCCAATTGTGATCATCTTTTCTACACCTCGGCCATGTTCTCTTATGTGAACCCCAGCAGCATACGCGGCCATGACCAAGACAAGCCTTTTTTCCTCCTCTACACCAGCATTACCCCCATGTGCAACCCCATCATATACGGTTTTTAAAACAAGGAAATGAAGAAGGCCATGATGAGGGCCTTTGGGAGGGCCAGCCTGGCCCAGGCAGAGTCTGTCTAGTTAGAAGACTCCTCTGTCCCAACAGCTGGGTAACTATCCACTGCCGAAATGTCCAGGAAAAGACATTCATAGCTTCCTTTCTACTAGGATCAGACTTGGGAGACCCTATTGATGATCTTTTTTTATTTTTATTTTTTTATTGCTGTTCAAGTACAGTTGTCAAGTACATTCGATGGGATCTTATAAATACACAAGTTAACTTAATTCCATTTCATTTTATCTGTATAACGCTTCAACCTGCTATTCCCAGCCTGTTTTGCAGACATTTACTAGACTTTTTTCTCTTTTGACTTAATCACTTCAGCCTGCTTTTCTTTCTCACATTCTAATCTCATACCCTGAATATTCCCTCATCTACCCTGCTCCTATATGAGAAAAAATAGGGGAAGAAGAAAGACAATTAGGGAGCAGGATAGACATTAAGAAAGGTCAGTTAGAGAAAAGAAGAAAAACGAAGGACCAGCAGCGTGAAGTCTATCTTCTTAGTCCCCACACTAGCCTTTGTGGGGGAACTTGTGGCGGCATTAAGTCGCTGACACTGCACTGAGTTTGTTTATGCTTCTGTGTCGTTGGGGAAGGGCAGCTGGAAGAGGCCAGTGTGTCAAAAACCCTGTCTCCTAAATCCTTGAATTCCTTTAAGTAACTTGACTGCTTGATATTTTCCTTTAGATCCAAGTAGTAAGTGACTCTAACAAGCTGCTCAGGGGCCAGTTTCCTTTCCTCTTATTCATACCCCAAAATAACTCCCCTCTCCCTACTGCCTTCCTTTTTCTTGATCTTCTTGCATTTCATGCCAGCTCAATCCCATTCCACCTTACCTCCTCAGGTTAAATGGGCCTGTTTCATTCCCCGCACTTTAAGGACTATCTCTTCACACTACCTCCAGCATTGCAGAAGCCTTTCTATTTATGACCCTGACCTCCCCGGTTTCCTGCTCTTAACAAAACCTAGTATCCTTTAAGAAGGGTATTATATTCTTAGCTATTTTCTTCCTTTGAAAACTGCATCTTCTCATGCTCATTTCATAACGGATAGGAAAGAAAAGGGAACTGGTACGAATAAGATGAATGCACCTCATTTAAGATGCCTTCAAATAGATGTACTACCCTTTCCACATTCTCCTATCATATGCTGCTGTCTGCAAGGACTTAGAGCAGTAGCTTCATTCCACAAATCTTTATTTTTTGAGTCCAAATTGGTGAACCTCTGATATCAGAGGACATGTGAGAAGCACTTTTTTGAAAAGTGGAAGAAATGAGACATCGTTATAATCAAGAAGAAACAATACATGTAGAACCTAAAGATTTCCATTTTCAAAGAAAAATTGCACCAAAGTTAAATAGACAAGAAAGACTGTAAGACTATTCCAATAGGAGGTTGAACTCAACTCTGCTGAGATTTTTACAGCTGCAGGGGCTGGTGGGTGGGATGGGAAGGGTTTCTTGGCGATTGATCTTACCCAAAGGAAAGTAACTCAGTCTCTTACCATCTCACAGAGACTAGGAAATCGGGGTGCTATCTTCCTCTAGGACTACATTTTGAAGGGACAGCTCCCGGGTCCTTGAGAAAATATTCCCTGTGTTTTAAAACAGGCAATAGGCTTTTTAAGGAGATGTATGTACATTTCAAAGGGGCAGAGAAGGATCTGCAATTACAAGTAAATGCTCTGAGAAAGGAGAGGTCAGGGGCCTATGGTTAAGAAGAACCCTGTCTAAAGTTAGTCAAATGTAAAGGGGGATGTTAACATCATCTTAGTCACCACAGAGAGCAAAAGGAGTGCTTATTCTTCTTCCTAGAACTTCAACTTCTTCTCCAACTTTGAAAATTACTGTTTCAACGAGTCTTTAAAAGAAAAAGTGAAAGAAAAAATAAAAGGAAAGGAATAAAGGAAAAGGAGAGGAAAATGGTGCTTTAAAAAAAGTTTCATGAGAAATAATTTAATGACATACATTTAAATGCCCAGCATTGTTGTATGCTTACGTCATAAATGAGACACAGTTCTAGCTTTTAAAAGCTTTAACAGGACAGACAAAACCAAATAATGGTAATACGAAGGGCAACCATTTTAAGAGGCCTATACAAGGAACATTAGATAATAACAGCAGCTTACATTTATTAAGCACTTATGGTCTGATAGCTTTACACTAGTCATAACAAAACCCTCGAAGTACTAGCATTACCTTCATTTTTGAGGAGCAAAGATGAGGCTCATAGAGGTTAAGTGATTTGCTCAAAATCACACCGCACTTCAAACGGCATAGCGCAATTCTAACTGGGCCCCCATCTCCAAAGCTAGCACTTCTAAGGAGGTCCAGCAACTGTCCGGAAAAATGGGGCCGGCCTTATGCCGAAAAGGTGATATTAGAACTAAGCTTTAAGGAATAAGCAGTAAATTGTAAGGCAGAAAATGGGGGAATGGGAATTATAAGCCGGGGACGAGAAATTCCAGGCCAGAACTGCCTGATTCGTCGTTAAAATGATGCATTCGACGTGGCTGGCGGAGGGTGAATAGGGACGGGAAAGCTGGAAAACTCAGGCTTTGTGACCTTACAACCGTTGTCTCAAGGGCGAGCGCTTTCTGGTTCACGGTCCCAGACTCTCGCCGGGCGGGAACGGACGCTAGGGGAGGGCTCTCGCGCACTGGAAGCCGCCTCCCTGGACGCAACTCCCTTTGCCGCAGCATCTGCCCTGGTTTCAGGGCCCGGGAGACACAAGAAGAGGCCCGGGGGACCGCGAAAACCTATGTAATAACCAGAAGTTTCCCTGGAAAAGCACGTCCTTTCCCAGTCCCTTCTCACTGCCGTGATCCGGGCTCCGCAAACTACCCAAGAGGTGGTCCTGACCCAATTACACCGGGGAAAGGAGCAGGACGTGGTCGGCTACGAATCTGTGGCCAATCAGCCTTCCAAGGCCGCTCGGATCACCGCTGTGGCAACCAATGAGTGCCCTCTCCACGGCCGCTCCGCCCCGCCCGGCGGGATTGCGCTACGGCCTCACAGAAACCACCTCCCACCTGCTATTTTGGGAGACTGGGCAGACCCCTGCGCCCTGGAGGTTTGGGATCCCTTCCCAGTGGAATTGCTGAAATGCCGCGCCCTTTTGGAGGAGGACGTGATGGGGATGGGGGCGGAGCAAGGCTGGAGGCCGGCCTGAGCTGAGATCTTGCCAATCACTTCGAGTCACCATAGCTCCCAGTCTTGTCCACCGATCCCTAGCCTACTTTTTTCTAGGTGACAGCCAGCCCCTCACCCCCCTTTTAGAGAATTGCATAACTGTTGGGTTCCTCTAATCTCTTTCAGACAACAGCAATGTTCCCTGAGCTTGCTTACCTCCCCTTTCCGATTACCCACTCCAGAAAGTCTTTCTGGGTTTATTTCTGAGTTCACTTCAGAACCTGTGCGTTTTCCTACGACTGTACTCTTTCTTACTTCTCTGTCTACCCCCGACCCCGCGTTTTGTTGTTGTTGTTGTTGTTGTTGTTGTTGTTGTTGTTGTTGTTGTTTTGAGTCCTAAGCACCATACCTGGCCATAGGAGGCGCTGTAGCGCTACTTCTGCGATGAAATCTTCAGTGGAATCCTGATGTATTAACCAAACAAAAGCAAAGGTGTACTGATAGGAGTGAAGGAATGTCAAGAATCCTGAGCCTCCAGGCAAGCCCCTGAGGCACCTATTAGTTACCGACTTCAGCCGAAGTGTTCGGTTTAATTCAGAGAAATGTGATTTACCCGGGACAGGAAAATTAAACATCAGAAACCTTTAGGAACACCCTTAAATCTCATCTTTTTGGACTTCCAATCTGGCTACAAAAACATGTCTGTTTATTTTCCAGTTTAAAGACCTAGATGTCCGTTTGCCTCTTCAGATTAGTTCGTCACCCACTTCACCCAGCTCCGGGTTTAAGAGGCTGGCCCACATGGACCAGTGAACAGATCCCCTTACCTCTGGCGCTGTATTGGGTTCAGTCAATGAGTAACAGGCAGAAGATCAAAAGGCAGTGGGAGTGTGAGGCTGCGGTATTTAATGCTCTGTTTCTTTCCCTGTGGGGGTTGTGGCAAGCTCGCTTGAGTCCCTTTGGCTAAGATCTCAGCTCCTGTCGGCTGGCCCTCTCTACCTAGTTCCCTTAAGTATGTCCAACTTCGGGAGCTGCCATCTCCCGTTACCTGTGTTTGGAGGGGGAGGGACCAGGCTCTAGGGTTACCACAGCCCAGGCCAAAATTGTGGGAAAGGAACCCAGGACAGCTCTCCATTTCTAAACTCTGGAACCGCCATCTTCCAAGACCTTTTCAGGCTTAACCCCTGTAATATGCGATTCAGGGTACTGTATCCCTTGTGTGATTTCCCCACACCCTGCCCACACCTTTGTAAATAATCCCCTGTTAAACCCTCCTCAAACTATCCTAATTTGAGTAAGCCATCTCTTTCCTGGGAATACCCCAATACAAAAACATTCTCTTTTACGAAGGAAATGGAACAGATGGCTGTAGGACAGTGACCCTGGGCTTTGAAGTGAGACAGAACTGTCTCATGTCATTCAGTCATTCATTCATTTGTCAAATGTTCCACTGTCCAGTTAGCTGTGGGAGACATTTTAGAGAATGCTATGGCACACTGCCCATTCTGCAAGAACACTCTTCTTTGCCCACAGGGGTGAGCCCTGGCTACCAAGTTAGAACCATGGGACACCCCACCACCACCAGCACCACCACCACAATCAATGCAGTGGAGCTGGATCAATTAAATACCCTTTCCTGGAAATTTGGAATTGGTATGAAGTGGGGTTAGCCATTCTGGGCTGGAACAAGCAGACCCTCAAGCTATGGAACACTTATCTTTTTCATGTGTGAAAAAGCAAAGAAAGTTGGCGGGCAGGGAGAATAGGTCGAAGTCAGAGGACAGCAGAGGTAAAAGACCACATCTCCAGACAAAGGGTCTGAGATGGCGGCCGCCCTAGTGTTGGTCAGCCTGGATGGCCCAGCTGCATTCTTGCTTTTGGGTTTTG